CGACTGGGGTGTTTAAGTGTTATGCTTGCTGTAGTGCGCCAGTGGCCCGCTCGAGTTACTGGAATGATCTGTGGTCCCTGCAGGCAGAGGGTTCCGGTCTGAGACGAGGCCCCCGCTAACCTGCACCACTCGGTCCCGCTTCGGAACGAACTGTTCGGTGAGCACTGGGGCGCCCGAACCTCCTCCTCCACCTCCTCTAATCCCTCTTCCTCCTCCTTTTCTTAGCCAGGCCGCCGAGCGCACACTTGCTCGTGGCGTCATCTTCCTCCTCCTCCTCCTCCTCCTCCTCTAATTCCTCTTCCTCCTCCAGTTCCTCCTCCCATTCCTCCTCCTCCTCCTCCTCCTCCTCCTCCTCCTCCTCCTCCTCGCTATTCATTCACAGACGAGGCCCCCGCTCGGGACGTCAGCACGGGCTGTCCGATCGGGGTGCTCAAGTGCTATGCCTGCTGTAAAGCGCCAATGGTCCGCTCGGGTTATGAAAATGATCTGTGGACCACACAGGGAGGGGGCGCCCGCCTGAGAGCACCTCGCTAATGCACTCACAAACGAGGCCCCCCTCTCGAGACATCCTCACGATGTGCCCTCCTGGGGCACTCAAGTTTCACACCTGCTATCATACGTCAGTGGCCCGCTCGGGTCACTAACGTCATCTTCGGCCCCATCTGGTGGGGTCGCCCGCTGGAGACTTCCGTGCCTTTCATTCACAAGCGAGGCCCCCGCTCGAGACGCCCTCACGGTTTGCCCCCTCGGGGCGCTCTAGCGTTATGCTTGCCAGGGTACGCCGATGGCCCGCTCGGCTTGCTAGCGCGATCTGCGGACCCATAGAAGCAGCAAGGGGGCTCCCGCCTGAGGCATCTTCACAGTTTACTCACAGGAGAGGCGTCCGCTCGAGACACCGTCACGGTTTACCACCCTTGGGGTGCTCAAGTGCTATGCCTGCTAGAGTACGCCGATCAACCGCTCGGATTAGTAACATGCTCTGCAGGCCCATGGGGAGGGGGCTTCCGACTGAGATTTCCGCGCTATTCACTCAGAAACGAGGCCCCCCGCTCGGGACATCATCACGATTTGTTCCCTTGGGGTGCTCAAGTGTTCTGCCTGCTAGAGTGCACCGATGACCCGCTCGGATTGCAGACATAATCTGCTGGCCCCAAAGGGAGGGGGCTTCCGCTTGAGACTTCCCCTATTGTCACCAACAGACGAGGCGTCCGCTCGAGACACCCTCACGGCTTGCCACCTTTGGGGTGCTCAAGTGCTATGCCTGCTAGAGTACGCCGATGAGCCGCTCGGATTACTAAAATGATCTTCAGGCCCCGTGGCGAGGGGGGTCCCGCCTGAGAACTCCTCGCTGTCCATTGACAGACGAGGCCACTGCTCGTTCCTCCGTACTCTAGCTTGACGAGGCCAAACGTGATGACAACTACAGGGTTCCGATGACCCGCTCGGCTTGGTAACATGAACTGGGGGCTCCATAGGGAGGGGGCTCCGGCCTGAGACTTCCTTGCTTCTCACTCATAGACAAGGCTTCCGCTCGAGACTTCCTCAAGACGAGTGCGTGAGTGCGTGGGTGTGTGTGTGAATGAGCGATGATGACACTGGTGACGGCAGAGGCCGGGATGATGTTGATGACGGTGGTGGTGGTGGTGATGATGATAATGACGATCGATGGCCGATGACCATGATGGGATAGTGGTAGTGATGATCATTACGATGGTGGTGCGTATGAGTGAGTCCGAACACATGGTGCGCTGATGATGGTAATGAGGATGGGTAAATGTGAGCGAGTGGGTGAGTGAGTGCGGATGTTGATGATGATGACGATGATCACGTTGATGGCGATGATGATCGTGATGCTGATGGTGGTGATGAGGATGAGCATGAGCATGAGGATGATGCAGATGATGGTGATAATGATGATAACAGTAATAATGAATATATTAATGATGATAATGATGGCGATGATGGTGCAAATGATGATGATGGCGATAACGATGATGATGATGAGGAGGAGGAGGAGGAGGGGGAGGAGGAGGAGGACGAGGAGGATGATGGTGAAGTTGATGAGGATGATGATGACGATGATGATGTTGATGATGATGATAATGATGATACAGATGATGATGATGATGATGATGATGATGATGATGATGATGATGATGATGATGGTCAGGAGGATGTGGATGGGGATGACGACGGGGATGCTGATACTGATGATGATGATGAGGATGGTGACGATCGATGGCCGATGACCATGATGGGATAGTGGTAGTGATGATCATGACGATGGTGGTGCGTGCGAGTCAGTCCGAAAACATGGTGCGGTGATGATGGTGAAGAGGATGGGTAGATGAGAGCGAGTGGGCGAATGAGAGTGGATGTTGATGATGACGATGCTGACGATTACCACGTTGCTGACGATGATGATGATGATGATGATGATGATGATGGTGATGATGATGATGGTGATGGTGATGGTGATGGTGATGGTGATGATGATTATGTTGATGCTGATGATGCTGATGATGACCATGATCCGCATCATGATATGATAGTGATGATGGTCGTGGTGATGATGATGATGACGATGAGGATGAGGAGGAGGATGGTGCGGATGTTGGCTATGATGATGATACTAATGATGATGATGATGATGATGATGATGATGATGCTGATGATGCTGATGATGCTGATGATGCTGATGATGCTGATGGTGGAAAGGATGACGATAACGATGATGACGATAACGATGATGATGATGAGGAGGAGGATGAGGATGATGATGAGCATGCTGATGGCGATGATGATGTTGATGATGATGATGATGACGATGATGGCGATGATGAGGAGGAGGATGAGGTTGATGCGAATGATGACGATGAGGATGAGGATGAGGATGACAATGACAGTGACCATGAGGATTATGACGATGAAGATGCCGATGATGATGGTGATGCTGATGGTGATGGTGATGCTGATGTTAATGATGATGTTGATGATGACGATGACGATGACGATAATGATGACGACGATGATGATGTTGATGATGCTGGCGATAACGATGATGATGATGATGCCGATGATGATGATGATGATGATGATGATGATGATGATGATGATGATGATGATGAGCGCATGAGTGCGTGAGTGTGTCAGTGTGGACGAGGCAGAGGAGGAAGACGAGGAGGAGGAGATCATGCGTGGGGGGGGGATGCAGACGAAATCAGATCCCAGCTTTGGATGTGGGAAGAAACCGTAGACCCTTAGATTTACAAATACTCTACATATTACGAAGGCCTTACGGCTGGTGCCGCCGACCTTGAAGGTGGGACTTCCCCTCGGACCCCTGTTGGCGACACCCCCAGGAAAAAAGGAAGGGGCTCCCCTTCGACTTAACTACGGCGTTCCTTTTCCCTGTTTTTTAATTGCCTTGGGACTGACGACGACGACGACGATGGCGACGACGACTCAAACGGAAAAGCATCTCGCACACGCCGATGGGTCGGCGGATCTTTCGTGGCTTCGATGAACATGTCACCTCTGAGGTGCATCAAGTCTATAGCCAACCTCATACTCGAACCCTTGGTGTGTTCTTTGGACACTGCGCAGGCCTGATGAAAACTTGAGAGGCACCTTCCAATGTGTGCTCCGTCTACATTGGGCTCTCGCTTTCGGCCTTGCGGCGCGTTTGCGGCGACGAGTGTTGCCATGTGTGCACTTAGCGCGTCCCTGCCCACACCCGCCGGGGTGGAGCAACGCTCATGGGCATGGCGCGGGGGCTCCCCGGCCTCTTGCAGATTTGGTGATCGCGCTGTCAATGCTCTGCTCTCCTGGGGCTTTGCAGCGTCGTCCGCACCTTGCTCCTGCATGTCCGAGCTCCGTAGCTGCCTGCACGCCCTCCTGTGCTCAGCTGCGATCTTATGGACGCTGGGCAGGCCTTACGAAAGCTTGAGAGGCCCCTTCCAATGTCTACTCGAACCCTTGGTGTGTTCTTTGGAGTGTAGCCGACCTCCTGCCAATGATTTGGCTTCTTCGCCGAGGCCGTTTTGGACGCTCCAACGCGTTGCTCCCCCCCCCGTCCAGGTCCAGGAAAGGGGGTAATTAGGGGGAGGGGTCAAGACTTCCTCCCCGCCCGCAAGCCGTCTCGCTCTCTCCCACCCGCCCTCCCAACACGTAGCACCCGAGTCTGGCCCGAGCCTCAGCATGCTCAGCAGTCGTCTTTGGATGGGCAGCTACTGGGGGCCAATCCGCCGCCGCCGCCTCCGCCGCCGCCGCAGCCGCCGCCGCCGCCGTCGCCGCCGCCGCTGCCCGCCGCCGCCGCTTCCGCGCCGCCGCCGCCGCCGCCGTCGCCATCGCAGCCGCCGCGGCCGCCGCCGCCGCCTCCGCCGCCGCCGCAGCCGCCGCCGCCGCCAAGTGTACTCAGCATTGTTTTGTTGACAGGGATGGTGAGGTGAGGCCGCATCGGGTTGGCTGCACATGCTCCGAATTTGGAGGCAGAGTGTGTTTTGCATTGTTTGTTTACAAGGGATGGTGGGGGGGTGCCTTCATTGTCCCTGGTTGGCTCCCAGTCGCCTGGGGGAGGGGGTGTTTATTAATAGGGAGCAGTGTTAAACCCCTCCCCGAAGGGGAAGACAGGTGGTTGGAAGAGGAACCCCCCTGGACCACCTGCGCCCAGAGGGCTGCTGGCATTCTGCAGCCGCCTTCCTACTCGAACCCTTGGTGTGTTCTCTTTGGGGGGGAGGAGCACTGCCATGGTTCCTGGGCGGGCCGGGGCGCGAGCGGAGCACCGAGCGGCCACTCGCCGGCGGCGCGGGCGGCATTCGGCCCCTGGCCGGCGTCGTCGTCGTCGTCGTCGAACGACGAGGCCGAGCGACGACCACCGACGAGGCTGACGACGACGGCGACGACGACGACGACGTTGACGACGACGACGGCAACGTCGGCCGCTGCGTCGGACCCCGGCTGCGGGCGTGAGAGAGACTTGCTCCCGGCGTGCCGGCAAGGTGCACGGCGACTACGGGCAGATGGTGTACGTCGGTGCTCAGAGGAGAGAAACCCAGACTCCGAGGCGGGAGCTTATACGTAGGACCCCGCAGATGCGGATAAGAGTGAGGGGGCGGCGGGGACGTCGGCAGTCTGCGAGACTCGGGAGAAGGCCGCCGCAGGCGTCAAAGTTTCGTTAATTTCGAAGTTTCGTTAATCATGCAACGAGCCCGCCGCAGGCGCCGATTTTTTCGTTAAACCAATGTGGGTAGGTCGCAAGTGGGTCGCAAATGGAGAAAGACCCAGACTCCGAGGTGGGAATTTATACATGACCACCGCCTGGAGGGTCAGTTTCCAGTTTTCGGAGCCTCGGCAGGCGGTGGATGTGGACAGATGCGGGCCCCCAGGGGCCGAAACATGTGCATATCCACCGCCCGCTGGGGCACCAGGGCACCAGGATGTCGGCTTCCAGGCGGTGGATAGGGATAAATCCCCGCCTCGCACAGACATCCAGCGTCTCGGGAAAATCGGGGCGGAGGTGTTTTTCATAGTCTTCAGCTCCTCGGGGCCCGTAATTACCAGGCCTCGGGACGGTCAAAAAACGACGCGGCATGAAACACCGAGGCAGGCCGCGAGCCGCTCGGGGGACGAAGCCGCCGGCGACGCGGCATCCCGAGTGCTGCTGCAGAGCCCCTCGGCCCAAGCGTAAGCTCCTCCTCCTCCTCCTCCTCCTCCTCCTCCTCCTCCTCCTCCTCCTCCTCCTCCCCCTCCTCCCCCTCCTCCACCTCCTCCTCCTTCTCCTCCTCCTCCTCCTCCTCCTCCTCCTCCTTCTCCTCCTCCTCCTCCACGATGACATCCATTTTTTCGGCCACGGCTTTCAACTGCAGGCGTCCAGATGCTTGCCACGAGGCGTGAAGGCGCCCCGCGATGCCTCAGGCAGCGCTCGTGCCGCCGGCGATGCGATGCGGTGAAGACCGGTCCCAGGGAAGTCGTCGGCGATCCTGCTCGATGCGTAGATTCTCTCCACGCCGACGTCCCCGATGCATCGCCGCCGTCGCCGGTGTGTCGCCGTTGCGCCGGTGATGCGTCGTCGATGCGGCGCGGTCCTCCGACCCCATCTACTCCGAGACCATCTGGGAGGCTCTTTGAAGGGTGCACTCCTGCCTCGCTTTCGCCTTGTTGGGTCTCCTGGGCGACCCTCGTTGCCACGACTGGATTCTTCCCGAAGTTTTGGCCAGACGGCACCCCTGGAGAGGTCCGGGGAGTAGCAGTGGTATCAGCACCTTCTGTTTCTTCCAAAGGTAATCTCCCGTTCAAAGCCGAGTGGCAGGATCTGAAGGACCTCGGTGAAGAAACAACGGCGCAAACATACATTTTTTGAGCTCCTCGCGAAGTTCTTTGATCAGCGCCGGGCCCCACTGGCGGCGCCTCCAGCGCCGCCCCTGGCACGCTCCTGGAGGAGGGTTCAGCGCAGATCCAAGAAATCCGCACGGACCTCCAAAAGTCAATGTTTATGTTGTTTTTTCCTGTGCCCCTAGGACCACATGAAGGGGTGCGGCACGGTGGAGTTCGTCAAGATATTGACAGAGGCGGGGGGGGCCGCTGGCCGTCTTGCTCTCCCCGCAGCCCTCCTCCCTCTTGGCGAGTGCCGCGTCTCTTTCTCCCAGCCCTCCCACGGTGGCACCCACAAACAAAGGGGGGGGCGCGATGAGGGCGGCCTTCTGAGAAGGGGGGGCGGGCTTCCTGTAGAAGGCAGGGGCCCTCTCGGAATGGCCCAGGGGGCTCACTTACGAGGGCTTCTTGGAATATGAGGTTTCAACCTACTTTAGCCTTGATCGCCAGGAAAAAATTCGAGCACCACGAAAGTACCGAGGCTTGAGGGTTTTCACGTGTCGGGCCCTGGGAGGCGATACTCGTTCGGCACTGTTTCGACACTTGGGCCCTCGAAATTGTTTCTGTGATGTGGTCCTTAAGTGCGATGGGAGCAACGTAATTCTGGGAGCCCTCCAGGCCTTCAAGAGGCCCACCGCCTTCTTAGAAGACCCCCCCTTGCGCGCCACCCCCTTGTGGGCGCTGGCAGCTCGTCCTGCGCAAAGCACGTGTTGTTCCTCCCTCTCCTCCTTTTCCTTTCCCTCCGTGTGCCCCTGGGCACTGCCGTGCCTCTCTTCTGCTGGTCTCATGGTGCCAACATCGCAGAGCGGATTTCGTTCGGAAAGCGACAGGATGGGCCCAGAGTGTCCTGGAGAATTCCGTTCCGGATTTCGAGGCGAATGTCGCGCGTATTTTTTTGGGCCAGGAATAAGACCAAAACGAACCCGCGCGAAATTCACTTCGTTTTTCGGTCGCCGCTTCGGGCAGAAGTCCACGCAGAAGTCCGCGGCAGCACGTCTGCAAGGCCGGTGCAGTGGCTGGTGCTGCTCCTCTCCCCGTGTCGGCTTGTCCCCTGGCATCGCTCGGACGTGTGCCTTTTGTCTCGGCGAGGGCCATCGGGGAGCATCCTGGATCATTTGGCGAGAAAAAGCCACGCACGAAACCGAACAAAAACACAGGGAAGGGACGTCCGAGCGATGGCCAGGTCCACTCTTCTGTCTCCCCGCCTCTGCCTGCTTCTGTCAGGAGGGGAAAAAACACACAGACACAATTAATCGTGGATTCCCCAGAAAATATGGGAAAATATGGGAAGTGGGGGGGAAGACAAAAACCCAGAAAATATGGGAAAATATGGGGGATATTTTTATTTGTGTGTATTTATTTGTGTGTTCCAGTTCCCCTTCATTTTCTGTCTCCCCGCCTCTGCCTGCTTCTGGTGCACTCGTCAGGCCCGGGTGGTGTTGGCCCGCGTGCGGCTCTCGGCACGCTGCCGCGCTGCGGGAGGGACTGGTCGAGTGCCCCCCTAAGCAGCCCCGTTGATGGCCTGTTTTCCACCACCACCACCACCACCATAAGTTGGAGGGGGAGGGGGTCCTCCTCCTCCTCCTCCTATCCTCCTCCTCCTCCTCCTCCTCCCCTCCTCTTTCTCCTCTCCTCCTCCCATTCCTCCTCCTCCTCCTTCTCCCATTCCTCCTCCTCCTCCTCCACCTCCTTCCCCCCTCCAACTTATGGTGGTGGTGGTGGAAAACAGGCCCATCACCCGTCCGTTCCCCTCGCTCATCTGCTTTTGCTGTCGAGCGTACAGCCGTCGCCAATGGCTTGCGTCCCTGGAGGTGCCAGCAGGGCGCCCCCGTACGCAGATCCCAAGCAGGCCGAGCCAAATGCAGAACTGCCGCCACTTGCCTGCGCCCCCCGAGCGGCCCAGCAGATCGGAACAAGACCCCCACCCGCCCTCGGTGCCGCCAGACGTTGAACTGCCGCTGCTTTTACTGCACACCTCGCGGGGTCCGCGGAGTGCTCCCTCGGCAGGTCCAGGGTGGACCTCGCCCCCCCTCCCCTCCCCCCGGCGCAGCCCAACGAAGAGCCGTCGCCCCATCGCTCCCGTGCGCCCCGCCGGCGCAGGTCGATACTGGACCCCGTGCCCTCCCCCTCTCTCCCGCGTCTGGCCGCGGCCCCGCAGAGCCAGTCCCCGTGCGGGCGCGGAGCGCTCGTGCCCGCACTTGGCGACGGCCCCTCAGCGCCGCGCTCGGGCGTTGCGTACTGGGGCGGGGCGACAGGTGCGGTGTGTGTATGTGAGTGAGTGGGTGAGTGTGTTTGTGTGTGTTTTTGTGTGTGTGTGTGCGCGTGTGTTTGTGTGTGTGTTTGTGTGTATGTGAATGTGAGTGTGAATGTGACTGTGAATGTGTGTGAATGTGAATGTGAGTGCGAATGCGAATGCGAATGCGAATGCGAATGCGAATGCGAATGCGAATGTGAATGTGAATGTGAATATGAATGTGCATGTGAATGTGAATGTGAATTTGAATGTGAATGTGAATGTGAATGTGTGTGTGCTGCGTATGTGCGTATGTGCGTGTGTGCGTGTGTGTGTGCGTGTGTGTGTGTGGAGAAACGTGCACCTCTTGTGCCCTGAAGGGGCCCCCTGGGGCCCAGAAGGGGCACGACAGGTGCACGTCTCTCCCCCCCCCGTTTCTCTCGGCGGCCTCCTCCTCCTCCTCCTCCTCCTTCTCCTCCTGCTCCGCCTCCTCCTCCATCCTTCCCCTCCGCCTTCTCCTCCTCCCTCCTTCCCCCCCTCCCCCCTCCTCCGCCTCCGCCTCTTCCTCCTCCTCCGACGGCGACGACGACGAAGGCTCAGAGCCGAAGGGGAACGGTCGCAGACAGTCTAAGACGAGTCCACGTGCCGTGTTTTGCTGGGGCGGTCAAATGTGTTGAGGCCGCGATTCCCTGCCCCTTACCGGCGCGCGCATTCCACTTTCGTTATCAGCGCCCATTTTGTTTGACATGCCAGGTGCCGTTGAATCATTCCCCCCCCAAACCGACACCTCATCATGGAAGCTGTGGCGCGAAAGGCCATCATCACCCCCAACACGCGATCAACGCCCCTTCCATGAAAACCGGTAAGTTTCATTCTCCAGGACAAGGCAGACTGGAAGATGATAAGCATGCACATTGGAGCGGAGGGTTGGTGAGGAGAGAATGCGAGGATCAGGGATCCGGTCACAGAGCTTGCTTTGGCCCCCGCAGACGACACGCGGGGTGTCGTCGGCGGGGGTATCGTCCCCAGAAACGACACGCGGGGGGCCGCAATCCTCGATGTTTTCACGGTTCTGAGGTTCTGACCCCCCCTAAACGACACACCGCAAGTCGCCTTGGGGGCGCCTGGCCCGAATCACGGAAAGCGCGCCAGTGGATGGCCCTGAATACACAAAAGGGGAGTTTGTGATCGCAGAACCCCCCCCCCCTCCAAAGGGGGGGTGAGATTTTCGACCCCCCCCCTTCCCCTCCCCCCCTTGGCGCTGGAAAGGGGGTAAAGGGTTCGAACCCCCCCCTCCCCTCCCCCTTCTTGCGACGAACAGGGGGCTGGGGAGGGGGCCACTCGGGTAGTGAGTAGAGAATTGAGCGTTTTGAGTAGCGGTCGGCGACTAGTGGGTATTTGATTGTGAGTAGTGCGCAGTGAGTCGTGAATAGTGGGTAGTGGGTAATGGGTAGTGGTAGTAGTGAGTAGTGCGTAGAGATAAGTGAATAGTGAGTCGTGAGTAGCGAGTAGTGGGTAGTCAGTAGTGGGAAGGAAGTAGAAAGTAAGGAGGTATGAGTAGTGAGGAGTGAGTAGCGTGTAGAGAGTAGTGCATAGTGAGTAGTAAGCAAGGAGTAGGGATGAGGGAGTAGACAGTAGTGAGGAGTGAGTAGTGAGTAGTGAGTAGTGCGCGCTGAGTAGAGAGTAGGGAGTAGTGAGTGGTGAGTAGAGAGTAGCGAGTAGCGAGTAGGGAGTAGCGAGTAGTGAGTAGTGAGTAGCGAGTAGGGCCTTGTCAGTAGTGAGTAGTGAGTAGTGAGGAGGGAGTAGTCAGGAGTCAGTATTGAGTAGTGAGTAGGGAGTAGTGTGTAGCGAGTAGGAACTAGCGAGTAGTGAGTAGGCAAGTAGGCAGTAGTGAGTAGGGAGTCGTGAGTACTGAGTAGTTGGTAGTGGGCAGCAAATGTGGGTAGTGAGTAGTGGGTAGTGAGTAGGGAGTTGCAAGTAGAAATTCGTGAGTAGTGAGTAGTGAGTCGTGAGTAGTGAGTAGTGAGTAGCGACTTGCGACGAGTCACTAGTGAGTAGGGAGTAGAGAGTAGCGAGTAGTGCGTAGTGGGTAGTGAATAGTTCGTATTGGGTAGCGAGTATGGGGATAATGAGTAGTGATTTGTGGCCAGTGCGTAGTGAGTAGTGAACTGTGAGTACTCAGTAGTACGTAGTGAATAGTGAGTGGTTAGTGGGTAGTGACTAGTGCTTAATGAGTAGTGAATAGTGGGCAGTGGGTAGTGCTTAGTGAGTAGTGAGTATTCAGTACTGGGTAGTGAGTAGTGCGTTGGGAGTAGTGGGTAGGGAGTAGGAAGTATTGATTAGTGAGTAGTGGGAGCGTATTGAGTAGTGGGTAGTGAATAGTGTGTATCGGGTAGCGAGTAGGGCGTTGATTAGCGAGTATGAGTAGTGAGTACTGTGTAGGGAGTAGAGAGTTGCGAGTTGCGGGTAGTGGATAGTGAGTACTGAGTTGTGGGCAGTGAGTAGTGAGTAGTCAAGTGTGAGTAGTGAGTAGTGGATCGTGGTTACTGGGTAGTGAGTAGTGGTTTGTGATTAGTGAGTAGTGGATTGCGAGGTTGTGTGTAGTGAGGAGTGAGTATTGAGTAGTGGGTAGTGAGTAGTGAATAGTTTGTAGTGAGTAGTGAATAGGGAGTAGGGAGTAGTGGGTAGTGGGTAGTGAGTCGTGGGTAGTGAGTAGTGAGTCGTGAGTAGTGAGAAGTGAGTATTGAGTAGCGAGTAGTGAATTGTGGGTAGTGAGTAGTGCGTATAAGTATTGAGTGCTGCTTGGGGCTAGGGTTTGGTTTTGAGTGTAGGCTTGGGGGTTAGGGTAAGGGTGAGGACTAGTGTTAGGGGTGGTCGGGGTCGTGTTCCAGAGACCCGGGGCGGCGTGGCGAAAGGGGAGGGGGGGGGTTCGAATTTGGCGGCCAAAGGGGGGGAGGGGGGAGGGGTTCGAACCCCCCCCCCGTTTGAAAGGGGGGGGGGGGGGGGATTTTCCCGACGAAGGACCGCGAAAGGGCGGGGGGGGGGTCCCCGACGACAAATCGGGAAAGGGGGGGAGGGGGGGGGTCCCCGACGACGGATCGGGGAAAGGGGGGGGGTCCCAGCCCCCTTGGGGTCGTCCAGCGGCGCGCCCTCCGAATCACGCGGGGTGGCTCCCCGCGTCCAGGGGACCCCGGGTCACGCGATTGGCCACGACGAGGTCCGAAAAGGCCGTCCCAGGCTTGGGCGGAGGGCTGAGGAGGGAGGGGGCAGGAAGGGAGGGCGCAAGCGGTGCGGGTGCGGAGGGAAATCGAAGGGAGTGAGGAGTGGGACCGGATTTGTTGTTTGGGAGCGACCCGTCTGTTTCCAAGGATTGCGCTACGATTTGATGAATTCGGTAACGTCGTCAGAGATCGGTGTTACCCCGTTTCAGCACGCGCCTGTACTTGCTCAATGGATGCCCAGAGCGCGTGTCAGCTCTCAGCTTTGATTGTCCATGTGTCCCCTGGAGCGTTCTCAAAAGTTTCCCCGTGCTACCATATGCAGATGGCATCGCGTGGCATAAGCCCCTTTCTCGCTTGAGCGACGGAAGAAAGCGGGGTCGCCTGCGCCGACATTGGCGCGTAAGCTGCCCGCGTAAGGTCGCGCGGAAGCGCCCTCTCCTCCATGCGGAGCCCCACGCCGGCGGCCCGCGTAAGCCGCGGCGTAAGATCGGTAGGTATGCCATCTCGCGTGAGACCCGTTGCTTTTCGTCGCTCGCTTCCCCTCTCGGCTCGCCGCCGGGACAGCCTGTCGCCCTGCTGTTCCCAGGCCGCTGGAGGTCTGGGCCTTCCGCGGGGCAGAAGCGGGGCGCAGTGGTGCGGGGCA